GAGAAACAATAATGTACAGTATGTGGAAAATAATGTTTTGTTTTTTTTTTACTTTAAACCGCATAAACACATTTCATTACACCAAATACACAAGATAATGCTCTTTTTAGCAGCATCATATGACCCCTTTAAACCCAAGGACCAGGTATGATGAATGAAGACCAGGAGTCAGAGATGAAGTCAATTGAAGAAAAATTTACTGAAGAAAATAGTTTACAGTTTCATCAGCAGAAGTCAGCTTCAATGCTCACTAGGCCGCTCTGCGTACATGCTCAAGACACCACCAATTATACTCTAACAGAGGTCACTAATTACGTCAAAGCATAGGTAAGAAGGATTCTGGTTGGCTGAAACATAGACAAACTTAAAAAATCTCCATACAAGGACGTCTCGTTCAAAACATATCTGTTGGTGATTATTTAGGTGACAAGCGATCAGAGGCCATACGTAACAGGTCATCCGAGTGACGACAGATCTCCATATGAATGCTTACTCCTCAGGTGCCGTCTCCACATCTCCCTGGAGACGAGCCCTGCACAGACAGATACCAACACACATATGCACAAAACACTTATCTACTTCAAGGTTGGCTGGCTCGGCCCTGAATCTTATCAGGTGTTTAGTTTTACACACACAGACAATAAGTGCAGCTACTCAGAGAGAGAAAGGTGAGAAGCTCGGGCCATATTCAGCTTTATTCTTTAATATACAGACATGAAAAACAACCTAAATGTTCTGAGTACACGTTGATCAGGTAGACGAGAGGCCCTGCTACCTTCTATGATACATATATATATATATATATATATATATGTATATATATACACAAGGACCTTTAACCTGATAGGAGTAAAAGGGAGTTAGCAAAGGAAGAAGCTTCTCACGAACAAGAGAAAAACACATTCCAATAACATGGTTCATCTTAGTGACTATTACTATGTAATAGGTAAATAATAATTGTATTCAGTCACTAACAATCTATGAGGTTAAATACGATTAATAAATTTATCAATAATCATGCGAAATGATCATTAATATATTTTATCAAGGCCATGGTGGATCCAGGAACCCATTCCTTCCCATCACTTGCTCAGCAATGGATCCTCTGCTGTGAATGGGTGCCGTCAGAATGAGAGTCCAAACAGATGATAAAAACATCACAATAATCCACAAGTAATCCACACCACTCTGGTCCAGCAATTAATTTCTTGTGAAGTGAAAAGCTGCGTGTTTGTAATAAACATTTGCAGCAAATTTTCATTGTTGGTTTAACTATTCCTTTAAAACTGAATGCCATGGTAACTCTTGGATGAGTTTGTGCTTTTGTAAACTAAGTATTGGCCCATTTTTGTGATATTACTAGACCCCAGTTAATGGATTGGAGGTCTCCACTATCCAGAGGCAGCGTCTGGAGCTGCAGATTCTCATAGCAGAACTGAAGGACCGTGACCAGGAGCTCAATACTATGGCAGCAACCCATCACAAGCAGCTGCTATCCTGGGAACAGGACCGTCAGAGAGTACTGATCCTGGAACAGAGATGTGCCCGACTGGAGGGTGAGAGTGACTCCAGAGCAGGGTTAACTAAAACTATTAAAAGCATTTGTGTTCATTGAAATAAAGCAAAACATGAAAAACTAACTGAAATAAGTTTAAGTTGAAGCACTAAAGTACTAACTTGAATTAAATAAAAACTGAAATAAAAATAAATTAAACCTAAATAGTAATTATTAAAAAATAAAAATGACAAAAACACATAACAGAATTACTAAAATTTAAACTTAATATGCTTAACTAAAATGAAAACTGAAAATATACAAATAAAAGCTAGTTCAATTTCTCCAGAGTGAAGTTCCCTGATAAACCTACACCAAAGCAATATAATTTAGTTTTAAATGACCAATTTCCATTCTTTTTCTGTCCCTTAGAATTAGGTTATTTTTGCTACTATACCTTTAAGAATTCTGTATTCCCCCTTAAATGTAAACACTTAAAGTGTACTGCTGTAATTTCATAACATTGCTCTATGTTTGCAGCTTCAATAAATGAATAAGTTTTAAAATGTGGACTGGATCATTTTGAGCTGTGAACTCTTCTGATTCAAAATTGCAGGAAATTCAGTTTTCCTTGAATCTAAAAGTAATTAGATCTACAGTCGCTCCTGCTCACCAAGGCTGCATTTATTTGATCAAAATTACAGTAAAAACAGTAAAATTGTGAAATATTATTATAATTTCAAATAACTGTTTTCTATTTGTATATATTGTAAAATGTAATTTATTCCTGTGATGCAAAGCTGAATTTTCAGCATCATTACTCCAGTCTTCAGTGTCACATGATCCTTCAGCTGCTCAAGAAACATTTCTTATTATTACCAATATTGAAAACAGTTGTGTTAATATTTTTGTGGACGTTAACGGTTAATTTTATTCATCCTTGCTGATTAAAAGTATAAAAAAAGTCTTACTGATCCTAAACATTTGAATGGCAATGGTAATGTATTTGACTGCTCATGTTTCCTTAGATGAGCTGGAGAAGCGTAATGAGGTGATCAGAGCTCTCAGTAAGCGGACGAATGTGGCAGAAACGAGAGAGAAAGACGTGTACAGAGAGCTCAACAGCACCCAACACCAGCTACACGAGCTGAGCCACAGACAGATGAACATCTCCAGACATGAGCAGGACTTGGAGGTAAAGTCAAATCTGTTTTTAGGTCTGAAATTCTGGCCCATATCCTGTTCCCATTCCTCCATCTCCCCACATCATTTCTTGTCCACTTT